CTCGTACTTCCTATCTGGTCAACATCCAGGCTTCAGAAGGAAATCAAATGGTTATTCGGTCGCCTCCGGGTTTGCATTTGACTTTGAGGTCTACCAATATCTGGTTGAATCCGGGCTTCAAGGTAATCGGTTAAGCAAACTGTTATTTGGTCGGCGTCCAAGTTTCACAGTATACCTTACTGTTATCTGGTCGAAATCCAGGCTTCAGTGTATTTTACCGCTATCTGGTCGTAATCCAGGCTTCATGATTTATCATACCATTATCTGGTCGAATCCAGGCTTCAAGGTCTTCGGAGAAATCAAGATACTATCCGATCGAATCCGGGCTTCATAACTTGTATTAAGGATATATCACTATCTGGTCGTAATCCATGCTTCACAATAACTTGCTGAGCGGTTATCCGGTTGTAATCCGGGCTTCACGGCTGGTGTTTAGGATAATGCTACTGTTGTACCCCAATTTTTGACCTAAGATCCCACCTCCCATCTGCATTATTACATAGCAAGCGTTCACAAGCGATTCGACCTATTTTTGCCACTTTTCGGATCAGATTCAAAAATTCATAACTTCTTCAAATTTCGACATTTTTGAGAGTTTGTTTTTGTGCATGATTTTCCTTGACATCATCCACAACTTTTCTTTATAAATCAAAGGAAAATTCTGCATTAAAAAATCCATGAAAAATTGTTGACGTTAAAAGTTGTTTTGTGAATTTGGTGAAATTTGGGTTCGACTGTGTTTTATTCATGATTTCTTTTCCATTAAAAAATTGCAAAAGACGCACTTAACATGTGTTATTATTTTTATTTATTTATTTATAATTTTTTTTTTCTTTATGCAAAATATAAAAAATATGGTCTTTTATTAATTCTATTTAAATTTATATGTTTGTATCACTTTATTTGAAAAATCTAAAAAAATATGTGATTAGCGTCATCTTTATTTTAGTTGTATTTTACATCTAGAAAATCTCAAAGAAAAAAACATATAGTTAATACCATTTTCTTTTATTTACATTTTTATTTCTTTAGTCATTATAATTTTAGTTCTTTTTTAATTTTGATTTAGTTCTAATATTAATTGAATTTCTTAAATTGAATTATTATTATTACTAAATACTTTTTTGTTTGTGTCTCTTATTTTAATTCTTTTTTGTACTTTTAGTTTAGTTGTCACTAACAATCTTTTTTTTGGTTAATTATTATTACTATTTTTTTCTTGCTGTTAATTTTTGTTCTATCCAATTTTTGCTTCAACTCTTGTCAAATCTTCCCACAAACCTGTTACTGTCATACTGCAAAATTTGCACCATAATACATCCAAGAAACTTACATGAGAATGGCATTTTTTTTCAAAAAAAAGAATAAAGCAAAAAGTCATACTATATTTCCTCTATCTATAGAATAAACTTCAACCTCAGTCAAAAAACCACAACGGTAATAACCCCTTTGAATTTCTTCACAAACCTTCTAACTCCCATATTACCCCTCTCTTCACATTCACATACATCACCAACCATTTGTTCTAGACATAACCCATCACCTTCAGTAACAAAACTCTCCAAAAAAAATTAGCAACAATCTTCATCCAAGCTTCAACTTTGTCCATCATTACAGAAGCAAACAACAATAATCACCGATGCCGTAACCTGCATAATATACAAAACAATATTACCAGAAACGAAAGCAAAACGAAGAGCAGCAACTTATCTTTCAGATCACACCTCTTAGAAGTCTCAGAGTCGGTATTTTCCTTAACTTTTGTTATTTATACTCACTGTCATATATTATGGTACAAAAACTAACCAAGAATCATAATCACAGAGGAAATAACACTTAACAAAAACAGTAGAAAACTCACCATCGATTTCATAAAAATGCAAATAATCCACTTTCATTCATCCATCACCCAAACATGTTGTTACACCATCTTCCTCCTCCTCCTAATTTCATCTCCGATAACCAAAAACCTCGCCGAAAACTCTCACGTCATCAATTTCTACTCCCCAAACCTCTATCCAGAATCCCTAGCCTGGAACCCAACCAAACAACACTTCCTGGTCGGATCCCTCCTCCACCGCACCATCTCATCCATCTCTGACGCCGGCATAGTCGAAACGCTAATCTCCGACACCTCCCTCCCCAAACGTCACCGTCGAAGGCATAACCGTCGATTCACACAACAACCGCGTCCTCACTGTAATCCACGCCATTCGTCCTCCACCCCACCTTCCATACTTTCTGGATCGGCGATTTACGGTACTGGTTTTTTTTATTTTTTTTTAGACTCACTAGGAGATCTAAGGGTTATGGTTTCGCGAGATTTGTTGTTGAGGATGAACAGACGAGTGCTATGACTGAGATGCTAGATGGTTTAAAGTAGAATAGAAGAATTGTTGGTGGTGGTGTTGAAACGCACAGAATTAGAGGGCTAGATAATTGGTTGATATGTAGAGATAAAAAGAATCGGTTGAGAGAATCAGAAGAAGATTTTGAATCATGAGTTTTGATGAAAGAGAGTGAACTGTTGTTGTTTGTTCAGAGAATAGCGTGAATGAAAATGGAAAGAGAAGGGTGCAGAGAATTGGGATTTGTTGTTTTATGTTTTCTTCCCAATTTTTTCGTTATTAATGATAATAATTAAGAATTAAATGTTGACCAATTCTTTCCATTCCCCAAAGTCCAAGCGGCGCCTCTTGCATATTTTTAGGGTTTCGAAAACCCTTTCCCCCCCCTTTCTTGGTGGATCCGGGTTTGGGCTTAAGCTTTAAAGCCCAACGCAATCTCACTACTCCCTTTATACCATTTGAAGAGTATTCATGACATCAAGGTAGCTTTGGTTTGGTGGCAAAGCCGTTCAGTTGTGACTAAAGGGATCCGAGTTCGATCCCTGGCTATTATTTTAGCTTGAAGTTTATTTAGTCATATTTCACACAAAATTCATAAATATAATACAAAAATATTATATTAGGTTTTTAATTATTTCTTCCTTTACCTCTCCAAAACCGGGTCAGTCCAATGGGCTATTGGCCCAATAACTCAACCTTTTTTTTATGTTTTAAAAGAACATAATAAGTAATGAATAAGTGAAACAGTTTAATTGTTAATCTACTTTGCTGTAAAATTATTAATTAGTATAAAAAACACATAAAAACATTTAATTAAAATTTCACCTTTATTTAATTTTGAAAACATACTTTTTTCTTTTATTATATTTTTGTGTTGTCGCTTATTTAATTATTCAAAAATACATGTTTCATGATTTAATTTTGTCATGTGTTTAATTATCAAAAAATCTATGTTTTCTTAATCTTCATGTGCTCTTTTATTATTTATTTAATTTTTAAGATGCATGCTAGTATGATTTAAATTTCATTAGTTAATCTTTTAATTATAATTTTGGTTAATTGGTCGTTAATCCGTATATCTCTCGTCCGTTTCAATCCAAGGGAATTATTTAATTTTTGTCGACTTCATGTCACCAAAAAAACATTGTGCGAATACCCTCATTTCATTAAAACTTAGGATAATTTTTCCTTAAAAAAATTCATTTTATTTTCAAAACTTATACCTTTTAAGCAAAAACTTCGACATTAGGTCGTCGTACCTTCAAAAACCCGTCCGTATCCCCTTTCGGCCAAAACAATTTATTTTTCAATCGAACGAACAATTTTAATAAACAGATATTTCAAAAGGTTCCTATAGAGTACTATAGATACATTGGGTGCTAATACCTTCCCATTGTATAACCAACCCCCGAACCATAGATCTCTTTTCAAAAACGCCTTGTATTTTCATTACTTTTAAAAAGTATTATTTACATTGCATATTTAGGGTTTTATTTCGCTCTTTCCCCTTTTCCTTTGGAAACAATAAAGCGCGGTGGCGACTCTTGCTTTTGTGAGACGAATTAATCAATAATTCGATCTCCGATTTACCATGCTACATTTTTTATCGCTACAGAATTGGCGACTCTGCTGGGGACAGATTGACCTCTTGCTGGTCCATCCCTAAGTGGGTTAAGCCTAATTTGTCTTATTTGTTTACTATTATTTGTTTTGTTTGATTATGTGTTTAAATTGGGGTTGCTTGGGTTTTTTGCAAAGGACGAATCCTATACCCGGATTAAGTAACACTTAAGGAATATGACGTGCGGTATAGTCATGTTAACTTTGAGGGAGTAATCCCGAAGAAGGAGGCATGAAATCCCCCACTCAATGGAAGGCCCTCTTGAATTTAATATTTGTTTACCGAGTAATCGGGAAGACATTATTATTATTTTCGACCTAGGAGCCCGAGAAGTTGAGGACTGTAGAACCCTAACCCATCTTGGCCTTTTTAGGTGTAGCGTGGAGACTATAACGGAGTAATTCGGAAGTAGTTGTTACGCGATGCTACGCTCGGACGAGTTTCTCTTGAGAATATTGATAATTATTGAGTAATCAAGACGTCGGCAATATCCGAAGGAGGAATGTAGACTCTGGGAACTCTTAGAACCTTATTCTACAGGTGTGATTAAACCCTTAGTACATACCGTGGGAGTGTTTTTACCCTTGACTCCATGCTCGTGACGTTTAAAATTTGACTTTATTTGCAACCTTGCTTGTGGTTATTGCATAGCCATGCATTCATGCATCCATAAAACTCTTTTCACTTGACTTTGAAGGAATTTGGAGGTCTTTCTTTGTAAACATCACAAGTTTCGTCAAACTCAATGGATCTTGGGTGTTGATAGGGCGAAAACCCTAATCCACCAAAATGGATGATTGATCTTGACGATAACTTGATCAACGTTTGGAGCCGATTTAAAATTCATCTGTTATCTTCATATTTGGATGTTTACAACTTAATATCTTGAGTTCCTTGAAAATCAAATAAAAATTCTCTTTTGCATACCACACATCATTCTACATTTTTCCCTTGTCTCACTTTCAAAGGTTTTTTTCCGAGTCTTATTTTTCCTTTGGTCTCACTAGTACAACACTCGCTCTAAGAGGATAATGGAGAATATCAAGCAAGAGGTTTCTGAACTCCGCAGAGAGGTGACTATTTTGAAAGCTAGTATGGATCACTTAACTGGTTTGGTTGAAATTCTGGTTGCCGCCCAAGTCAATCCTTCTAGGAGGGGGGAAGCAAGGATAAAAGTCTTCACGGAAACTCTAAAATCATTCTCTCATGAAAAGGTGATGGTTAATGCACCTGATGACTTTCCTGACAAGGTGAATGTGGGAGTGCGTCTAGAAGATGTCGGAAAGGGATGTTTATATGAAGACGGTAGCGCAGCTAATGGTGTGAAGAAGTTTGATAATGACTTTTCCAAGAAGAGAACCAGAGGAAGAAATATTCATCATCACGTTCATCAAAAGAATCGGCAAGTTCCTAATCAGAGAAAAACCCAGTTTGATTCAATTCCAATCACCTATACAGAGTTATTCCCTATCCTGATGCAGAGGAATTTGGTTCAGACCCGACCTCCACCGAAGGTCCCTGAGAAGATACATTGGAACTACAAAGCTGATTTGGCTTGTACTTTTCATCAAGGTGCTCCTGGCCATGACTTGGAGGGTTGCTTTGCTTTGAAGATTGAGGTTCATAAGTTGGTCCGAAGTGGTATCTTGTCATTCAAGGACGTTGGTTTTGAAGTTCAAATCAAACAGGCGCCGAAGAGTAAACACGATTGAGGGTGACTTTGAGTTTTTGAAGATGTTTTCGGTAGTTCAAGTGGAAAGCCTTCCCATATTATTAACTTGTTTCTGCTTTTGCAGCTTTTCTTATTTATCGAAACATTGTTTGCATGTGAGAACTTGTTTGCGTCTGAATGATTATTTTAATACAATGAGTATGTTTGTCTTGAAGAAATTCATTCGTTTCACTCATATTTGTTTTCAAATTTTAAATTTTCTTTTTGCATTATGATACCAACTTGTTGCCCATTCTCTTGCCTAGGCAGAGATTGAAGGGGGGATGATGATCTATAGAACACAAAATCTTTGGTTGCATGCTTTTGAATAAGATCTTGTTGATGATGTACAGGCATTGTTTCAAATCCCTAAACACCGGAGATATAAGGAAGATAATCCCTTGCTAACCCCTTTTGAGCCTTTGAAGCAGAAGTTTCTTTTCTATACGAAAAACCTTGAATTTTAACCTGGGGCAGGGTAGTTTTCAGTTGATCTGATTGAGTGTTCAAAATTCGTAAGAAAGATGTTACCGTCACAAAATCCTTTTGAGAGATGAACACTCATGTTGAATTAACCGAGCATAAGGTTGGAGAACATCATGAAGAATGGGGGGGCACCAAATATTTTGAGCCTTTAAATCTTTTTCTAAAAAACCATGAACCAGACCACGTTACAACCTTCAAAAGTCCTAATTGAAGCAAGATTATTTTGAAAGCATACTTCAATGAGATAGTGTTCCTGACTCCCATTAATGTTCTAAATAGTTATGTTGGTATCATATGTTTTTCCTATACAAAAATAAATGGTGCTTTAGCTCGCAAAATTTGTGCGATATCTTTTCAAAATCTTCAAGACTTACATAACTGTTGCATTAGAATTTTCATTCTCATTGTAAATTTTTTTTTCTAACTGCAAAACATTTGTTTGATATCAAGGAAGCTCACATAAGCACCAGTGATGAGTTTACTCTTTTAAGGCTTGAAACGCTGTTGAGTGATTGGAGAATCGATTCAGAAAAAACCATATCCAGGGGCATGTCAGCTGAAGACCTTAAGCACGAACATGTTGCTTCTCCCAATTAATGCTTTTCCCAACTTGTTTGCTCGTTTGGGGCAAAAATTCGGAGACTTTGTTGTGCCGACTACAGTCAATCCAGGGCAATCACTCACGTCAAGATTTGATGAATTCCTCTAAGCGTTTAAAGACACCGGAGCATGGTGAATGCCAGGTCTTTTGTAAAATCCTCTTGAGACGATTTCTCCTCATCAACCGTATAGCTTGGGCATTTTAGAAGTGAAGTTATTCGCAAGAATCGTCGTGCATCATGCAGCTCACCAGCAGTAAACTTGGGGCATCAAAATTAGTCCCAGGGGCAATCCAGATTTGTCAAGATATGTTTTCAGAGGGTGGTGTTCCCAGTATCTCCAGCTAAGCAAGACTTCTTTCCAGCTGAAACTTTGTTTGTGTTGTTATCCTTTCAATGGGTTGTTTGTGATAGAAGACTGAACTTTGGGCTTTCTACCTAAATATCTTCCTCTCCAGGGATATTTAAGCCTTGTAAAAGGACCTTGCTCCAATGTTGGCCTGTGTTTTATCTCCAGTAATGTTCCCATCCGGTTGAGATTAGCCGAGTGTCGGGTTGTACTGTGATGTCTTATCATCTTCTGTCCATCTCCCCTGTCGGTTTTGTCAGCATATACATGACATTCATTTATTCATTCACACTTGCATCATGCACGCACAGTTGTATTTGTTGATGTCATTGAGTTCGTACACCTTGGTTGTGTCTTTTCAAATAACGTATTTGATCTTTCCAAATAGAGTGTCAACTTAAGCATAAAGTGCGCCTCCTTTCTAATTCCCCAACTGAGCTAATCCTCGTGGATGATTTTTGATTTAGCTTACCTTGTCCATTTCTGGATAGGATAAATTCCCCGATCGAGTTACTTTCTCATTGGGTGGAGTCTTGTTTGACTGTTTTCTCTCTGGTTTATTCCTAGATGAAGTTGTTGCCTCTTGCATAGGCTATCTCATGATTTTCCCCCAGTGAAGTCACAACCTAGACAGTTGGTGCATTTATTTTGCACATTTAAGTATATGATCTCCTCGGGAAGGATTGATTCAGGGTTCTCTTTGGCGAAGATTTTTATTCTCTGCCAATATCATCGCAGTTTCCTTCTGAATTATTTTGGGAAGACGACAAGCGGCAGCTCTTCATGAGCAACTTGTACGTTATAGACACCGTTGGAAAACGATAAGCGGCAGCTCTTCACGAGCAACTTGTACGTTATTATCTTTGGAAAACGACAAGCGGCAGCTCTTCACGAGCAACTTGTACGTTATTTTCTTTGGAAGACGACAAGCAGCAGCTCTTCACGAGCTACTAGTGCGTCATTATTTTTTGGAAAGTGCCAAGCAGCAGCTCTTCACGAGCTACTAGTGCGTAATTTTTTTTTGGAAAGCACCAAGCAACAGCTCTTCACGAGCTACTAGTGCGTCATTACTTTTTTGGAAAGCGCCGAGCAGCAGCTCTTCACGAGCTACTAGTTGCGTTATTATTTTCTTTGGACGACAGCAAGTGGCAGCTTCTTTATTTGAAGCGGCTTGTATGTTATTATTATTTTGGAAGAGGGCAAGCGGCAGTCTCTTTATTTGAGCAACTTGTACGTTATAGTTTTTGGAAAACAGCAAGTGGCAGCTTCTTTATTTGAGCAACTTGTATGTTATTGACATCCCTGGACGACAGCAAGTGGCAGCTTCTTTATTTGAAGCGGCTTGTATGTTATTATTATTTTGGAAGACGGCAAGCGGCAGTCTCTTTATTTGAGCAACTTGTACGTTATAGTTTTTGGAAAACAGCAAGTGGCAGCTTCTTTATTTGAGCAACTTGTATGTTATTGACATCCCTGGACGACAGCAAGTGGCAGCTTCTTTATTTGAGCGGCTTGTATGTTATTACTATTTTGGAAGACGGCAAGCGGCAGTCTCTTTATTTGAGCAACTTGTACGTTATAGTTTTTGGAAAACAGCAAGTGGCAGCTTCTTTATTTGAGCAACTTGTATGTTATTGACATCCCTGGACGACAGCAAGTGGCAGCTTCTTTATTTGAAGCGGCTTGTATGTTATTATTATTTTGGAAGACGGCAAGCGGCAGTCTCTTTATTTGAGCAACTTGTACGTTATAGTTTTTGGAAAACAGCAAGTGGCAGCTTCTTTATTTGAGCAACTTGTATGTTATTGACATCCCTGGACGACAGCAAGTGGCAGCTTCTTTATTTGAGCGGCTTGTATGTTATTATTATTTTGGAAGACGGCAAGCGGCAGTCTCCTTATTTGAGGCAACTTGTGTATCTACAATCTCATTACTTCAGCATTTATTGGTATCTCTCCGGAAATCTCGTGGAGAAAGTTTGTTATGAATCTTTACCTTCAGAAGTCGGTAATCCGTCATCAGCAAATTGATACTCTCTGTCTATCTTCGACCTTGAGTTGTGAGCTCACTGTTTTGGGTCAATAATCTGTTTTATGTCCTATGCAAGATGCCTTCTTAGTTAGGGTCAGAGGTCGTATTCCCTCAATTTTATTCGCTGTCAAGAGTCTGTCGTTTGAAGTCGATAGCTTGTTTCCCCAGTAGTGTATAATCTACGTCTCTGTGTTTTGTTGGTGTTCGATTCCTCCAACATTGTCTTGTTTCATACAATATCTTTCTCTGTGAATTCAATCACTACATTCATATCAAACATAATGGCGGTATCTTAGGGCAAAAATTGCGTATTATGTATTTAAGTACCTTCAATCTCGTCGAGACGAAGATTTTAATCTTCATATCTTCGGATAGAAGAAACTTAAATAGGGGCAGCTGTTGTACCCCAATTTTTGACCTAAGATCCCACCTCCCATCTGCATTATTACATAGCAAGCGTTCACAAGCGATTCGACCTATTTTTGCCACTTTTCGGATCAGATTCAAAAATTCATAACTTCTTCAAATTTCGACATTTTTGAGAGTTTGTTTTTGCGCATGATTTTCCTTGACATCATCCACAACTTTTCTTTATAAATCAAAGGAAAATTATGCATTAAAAAAGCCATGAAAAATTGTTGACGTTAAAAGTTGTTTTGTGAATTTGGTGAAATTTGGGTTCGACTGTGTTTTATTCATGATTTCTTTTCCATTAAAAAATTGCAAAAGACGCACTTAACATGTGTTATTATTTTTATTTATTTATTTATAATTTTTTTTTCTTTATGCAAAATATAAAAAATATGGTCTTTTATTAATTCTATTTAAATTTATATGTTTGTATCACTTTATTTGAAAAATCTAAAAAAATATGTGATTAGCGTCATCTTTATTTTAGTTGTATTTTACATCTAGAAAATCTCAAAGAAAAAAACATATAGTTAATACCATTTTCTTTTATTTACATTTTTATTTCTTTAGTCATTATAATTTTAGTTCTTTTTTAATTTTGATTTAGTTCTAATATTAATTGAATTTCTTAAATTGAATTATTATTATTACTAAATACTTTTTTGTTTGTGTCTCTTATTTTAATTCTTTTTTGTACTTTTAGTTTAGTTGTCACTAACAATCTTTTTTTTGGTTAATTATTATTACTATTTTTTTCTTGCTGTTAATTTTTGTTCTATCCAATTTTTGCTTCAACTCTTGTCAAATCTTCCCACAAACATGTTACTGTCATACTGCAAAATTTGCACCATAATACATCCAAGAAACTTACATGAGAATGGCATTTTTTTTCAAAAAAAAGAATAAAGCAAAAAGTCATACTATATTTCCTCTATCTATAGAATAAACTTCAACCTCAGTCAAAAAACCACAACGGTAATAACCCCTTTGAATTTCTTCACAAACCTTCTAACTCCCATATTACCCCTCTCTTCACATTCACATACATCACCAACCATTTGTTCTAGACATAACCCATCACCTTCAGTAACAAAACTCTCCAAAAAAAATTAGCAACAATCTTCA